AACGCACTCCGCCTGCTTGAGCACTGCGGCGAATGCACACACACACGCGCAATAAATCAATGCTGTATCAGAATATCATGTTTGTATTGTATTGCTGCGACGACTGTTGCTACTGCTGATGCTAATGTAGCTGCTATACCGATGCCGCTTCTGAAAGTACTCCTGATTCTGCTGCTCCTGCTAATGATGCTGCTGCTGCTTCTTCTACTGATGTTTCTGCTACTTATTTATTTCACCACGAGCTGAAATAAACCCACTGAGACGCGTAATAACAACGCTGCCTCTTTTGCGAGGACAACCTGGGTTACATCATGAACAATTTAAGAACGCATTCTTTTTTAAAAATGAAATTAATTATGTTTTACTTTTAAATTTACCCAGTGGACTGCTCCTTACTGCTGCTGCTACTACTTATGCTATTGCTATTACTGCTTTTCTTAATTTTACGACGACTGCTGCTGCTGCTTCTAGTATTCCTGTTTACTCTTTGCTGCTGTTGCTCTTGCTGTTGGAACTGCTGCTCCCACGTCCTCCTGCTGCTCCTTATATCTACCGCTGCTACTGCTGCTACCGCCTCTCCTATTCCACTCCTGCAGCTACTGACGCTGTTACTCGCTGCCTCCTCTGGACTTGCCACGGGGCGATCTGATTAGTGCCACTTTCTGAAAGGGCGATCGACGGGGGCAGGGGAATGGTTTCCGTCTGATTGCATTGCCCCGCGTTCCTCCCCAAGTCCCCTCACCCTTCCTCCTCGTGTGTTATGGGGGGAGAGGACGGCCCGTGCGGTGTAGGTCTGGCCTTAATCTTTTTTTTTTGCCAACAATTCAGAAGCCAGGGAGGGGCGAACGGGGAGTTTGTGAGCGAGGGTGGGGAGTGTTCCGTGATTTTCCTTCCTTTATTTGTGTTGCCTCGTTCCAACGCAGCTGTGAAACAAAATGCTGTGCTGTTTGTCTCACTCGGTGCTTACCGGGGGGGAAGCGCGGGGGTGGGGGGGGGGGGGCTTTGTTTCTCACTGAATACTCCCCTGGGTTGCTGGTTAGACTTACTTACTTACTGGTACAAGGCAGCGCCTTGCGTGATGAGCAAGTAGCCACACAGCCATCAAGCGAGATGTCTCCCCGATGTGGTGTGCCGGGCGCGGAAATATTTTCTGGGTCACCGACCCAAACACACCCGGCTGAAATCAATCCCTTGTCCTCGTGCTCCCCGGCATCGCAGGATTTCAGGGCTTGCTGTGACACACGCAAGCACGCGCCCACTGCACCCACGCACGCACGCGAACACTGCATACACGCACGCACGCACCCGCTGCACACACGCACGCGCGCGAACACTGCACACACGCACGCACGCGCCCACTGCACACACGCACGCACCCGCTGCACACACGCACGCACGCGAACACTGCACACACGCACGCACCCGCTGCACACACGCACGCACGCGAACACTCCACACACGCACGCACCCGCTGCACACACGCAAGCACGCGAACACTGCACCCACGCACGCACGCGAACACTGCACACACGCACGCACCCGCTGCACACACGCACGCGAACACTGCACACACGCACGCACCCGCTGCACACACGCACGCACGCGCACACTGCACACACGCACGCACGCGAACACTGCACTCACGCACGCACGCGCGTGCTTTTGTGGCTCACACAGCCGAGAGGACAAACGCGGGGTGGTGGCGAACAGCGCTCAGCTTTGTCAGAGCAAGCGGAGACGTTTGCGCTGAACGTTCGGAGAAAAAAAATATATCTATTTTCTCTCTCTCTCTCTCTTAGACAAAGATCCCCCGTATAGCCTTTAACAGACTGTTGGGGAAAGTGCTGTGCTAGCCAGCACCGATGAAGGTCGGCACGGTAACACGAAGGGGTATGGTGGCCAACACCACGCCCGACCGCCTTTGTCTCCCCAGTGGCCATGTTTTTACACACTGTCCCAGGTAGACCATTTGATGCTCAGTCGACCTAGAGGACGCCCAGGACCGGTTCAGATAATCGTCGCTGGTGTTGGCCATGAGCGGGAATCGATCTGGGGTCGCCGAATTCGCAGTGCAGCGCGCTAACCACAACACCACCGCTCTCTCACACACACACGTGCTCGGTGGCTACCGGGGCACCGTCGTATTCAGGGATTAAGTCCTCGCTGAAAATGTTCCGGGTCGCTGGTAGATTTAAGTAAGTGGCACGTGCCGATTAGTTACAGCCGTCGCAAAATGTATACCGGGTGCGGTGCGTGCGCCCAGTGAGGAAACGTTATTCTGGAGCGCCGACACTGGCTAAGCTGGCCTGGCTGAAATTGAACCCTGGTGACATCGCAGCGACGTGAGCCCTGCTCTCCATCGGAGATCCCTCCGGAAGGGACCTGTGTCTCATCGCGCTCTCCGATCGTTATAAATTTGGTTCGTAATCTTTTCGCCCTTTGTCAGTCCACTGCTGGATGAAGACCCTCCCTTCCCGCGCCGCGTCAGCCGTGCCGCTTTGTTGACCGCACTTTCAGAGGCCGGGTTCAGATATCTGCTCACCGCTGATGTTACTCGCGCAGTCTCTCAGCATACACGATTGCATGACGACTATGGAGCCACCACTGAAACGAACCGCACTTTTTTCGGTGTGACAGTCATTCAAACTCTTTCGTATTCTTGACTGCAAAAAGCAATTGCTGCTGCTGGAAGACATTGGTTCCCTAAGCCATATGGGCCGAAGGACAAAACTATTCAGAGACGAAAAAGAATGTTGTGTAGAGAAACAGACTTCCCGTGGGTGTATTGTATATTTGTTACGTGACGTGTAAGTAATTATGGGCTTGGGAGTGGAGCGGTTGCGCAGTCGATGGCGAGCCGAGTTCGATTCCCAGCCGTGGCAAACAGTGCCGAATGATATCTGAACGGTTCTGAGCCCCCAACCCCTCCCCCAACAGCACCCAACCTTCACCAGCCCACACTGACCAGCGTGGTCAAGTATGGTCAAAGCGACGCCCGTGACCTATCCGGCATGGGGAGGAGACCTTCATCCAGGAGTGGATTGACGAAAGGGGGTGCACATTTCAGCTATGAACTTTTAAATATGTTCGGTTAACAATCCATTCGAGCGGTTAGTGGAGCGGTGAGTGCGCTGCACTGTGAACCGGTCGACCCGAGTTCGATTCCCGCTCAAGGCGAACACCAGTGACGATTATTTGAACCGGTCTCAAGCCGTCCCAAGGTCAACTCAGCCTCAAATGAGTACCTGCTGCGGTGTGTAGGAAAGGTCACTACTCAGAAGACAAAGGTGTCCAGGCGTGGTGCTGGCCACCCGCCCCCTCGTGTGCCGTGTCGGCCGTCATAGGCGCCCGCGAACAGCACTTGCCCCAACAGTCTGCTACAGGCTATAGGGGGGATCTTTGTCTTTGTACGTGTCTTCACCCGAAGACTGTTTTACTTTCTGACGTTGTCCGCTTATGCGAGTGTTTGTTGGCGGAGGTTGTGTTCATTCGCCATCGTGTTTACGCCCGTTTTATCATTTTTTTGCGGCCGTTTTCTCTTAGCGAAAATGCCGTGATCGTGTTTCTGCATACATTAACGACTTTTATTTGCTTTGTAATCAGCTCAATTTGGCAATTAAGTTCAGCACCCAAACATGTAACATTGCTAGTGCCATGTGATTGTTTAAATTCAACATTTACGCGCAACAAACAACGATACCTCATTACAGCCGGGTGCGACGGATGAAGAATATACAACAACAACCACAAAATGGCAATTTTATGATTCATCGACACGCTTACATTTTTTGTTTAAGTTTTTCCTTCACCAGCGTTCTAAGAATGCCACTGTCAAGCGGCGTGAGTGAAAAATCGTGCGGGGGATGGCAAGAGACACGTTTGGACGTTTTGCCGTCGCAGGATTTATGGGAGGATAAGTAAAGCGGTAATTGTTTGATTTTCGGCCAAGACAAAAAAAAAGTCACGGCGGAATGGGATTGTCATGTTAAGCACCGTCAGTGCGGCGACGAACCCCACCCCCTTGAGTTGCTTCAGGCCTCGCGTGTATGTTGCTCAGACACGTGCGTGTGTGCGAGTGTGTACGTGAGTGCAGAGGCGGGCGGTAGTGTAGTGGTGAGCGCACTGCACGCCAGCAACTCGAGTTCGGTTCTCGTTCGTGGCCAACAACAGTGACGAATATTGAACATGTGCTTGACCTCCCCTAGGTCGACTCAGCCTTAAATTATGACCTGGCGTGGTGTGTACAGATCTGCAACTGGGGAGAAAAAGGCTGCTGGGGGTGGTGTTGGCCACCCGTCCCCTCGTGTGCCTCTATAGGTCCTCACGAGCAGCACTTGCCCCAACAGTCTGTTAAAGGCTATTGGGGGATCTGTGTGTTTGTGCTTAAGTGCGACTCCACGTATAGCTGCCTGAGTACAAGCTGAATATATATAATATTTCCATAAAGTGTGTGTTCATGTAGCATTGTGTATTAACTGCCAAAGACCAACAGAAAAGCAACGTGTGGATATGCCTAAAGTGCACATGGCTGGCTTTGAACATGGACATTGACAAAGAGAACAGAGCAAACGCTACGATGGGCACAAAGGAGTGTGGAGAAGTGCACGCTTGTAAGTGGATGGACAGGAAAGAGGACAACATGGATCACAGATCATCCGCAGGTTCCAGACATCAAGTTAAAGACGTCGTATTGACTGTTGAGAAAAATAACTGGGCACGGGGCAGAATACAATGTTTGGGCAGGACGCGTCACTGTTAGGGGCGATGGGCGGCGGTCGAGACGGACGGCAGAGTGGCAGCCAAAGGAGGGGGACGCGCTCAAGGTTACGTCTGTCGCAGACAATCCGAAAGCGAGATGGATTCGCGCATCGCGAGAGAATGCGAGCGGCGGCATGTGGAGGCCCTAATCCAGCAGATCACGGTGGATAATCGTGAACATGTGCGCCATGTGTGTATTCATATGCGTGCGCGTGTGTGTGTGCGTGCGTGTGATTAAGCAGCTCGCCTCCACGGCCCAGCCCCGGCAGCCTTCGCTACTCAGATGAGGACCTGCCCTCCGAGTACGGCGAGGTGACCAAGTCGGAGCCCAATGGCAGCCTCAACGAGAAGCTCTCGGAGATCCCCGAGTCTCCGGTACCGTCCGCCGGACCTCTGCACTCACAAGCCCTTCCGTTGTTTCCCTGCGCCTCTTTTCCATTGGCACATCCGAGCCATGCTAGTCTGGAGACCTCAGAGTTGGGGTGGTCTTCCACTGGCTATTTGCCAAGCTGAGCCAGAAGCAAACCTTGCTTCATTGGCCTCGCAATGTATCTGAATCTGACTCAGTGGCAAGCAGGGCCAGGGGCGGAGCGAATGACACATGCATGGCATTTGACGTCAATCAATAGGCTGGTAGGACACGTCATTGCCACGCCATTTAATCCATCTCAACTCGTACCCTACATGTGACGTCAGCAGCATGGCTCGGGTTCTGCAATGGAAAAACAAGCTGGCACCTTCCCGACCCGTACCGAGCCGCCTCCCCGTGGCCCCATCGTGGCTTGGTTGTACAATGGAGAAGACAGTGCTATCAGGCGTGCAGGCAGTGCAACTACACCGTGTCCCACAGGCCAGATGTGCTCAGCTACAAAGAGAGAGAGAAATTGGTCGGGAGGCACCATTTTATTCCTCGCACCAGGGCGCATGCCAACCGCGCTCCCGCCATGGTCATCATCGTCATGCTCTGCTTCCTTACATTACCGACATGTGCGGAACAACCCGTGCCTTAAGGGGCCCTCAATTGAGACAGAGCGATGAACGGTCTAATGGACAATCTAATATGGACAATCTTGCCCATTATCGGTCATTTTAGTCTATTATCACAAGTATCGTTAATGTCTTCGTGAATTATCACTAAAAAATTACATTTTTTAAAATGTATTGCTTAACTTTAGTTTTACCCTTGACACGGAAACGTCCGTAATTGTTATTACGGAAATAACATTTGTTTTATTTAATTAATCGTCACCGTCTATAGGTTGTCGCTAATTACTGTGAGCTTCCATTGCGGCAAGTCCGCCATGGTTCGTGGCTTCCTGAACGATTGCGGTCGAACAGTCTGTGCCCAGTCCAGCGTGGCGTCTGTGACCAAATATAGTCGCGACCAATGATCACGTGTTCCCCAAACAAATTAAAATTCCTTTGTGAACCATCCAAATAGTTTCGGGAATTAAATTCACGTTGTTTTGTGTATGCGAGCGGCAGCGCCGCTTTACAAAAAACGCTCTGCGGTCGAGAGCCCGGACACGTTTTACGTGAAATGTTCGACTTTCATTTGAACGCAAAACACACAAACAACAACAACAACAACAATCCACATGTTTGCCATGAATGTGTGCTTACCAGAAAGTTTGTTCTGCAGAAATTGAAAACCATCCCTTTTTTCCCCAACGGGAGCCGAATAGTATTTGAAAGGAAAAGCGATTAAGAGTCACAGGTGTGCTGCAATGAACCACTGTGGCTGCCTGATCTACTTTCGTGAAGCACTTTGCCCTGTATGTATTTTAAATAGTAAATTAAACAGATTTTTTTTTCAATACCCACAGCAATGCCTTTCATCAAGTAACTTTTTAGTTAAATATATTGTAATTTGTAATAAATGGAATGGATATATCTATATAATTTTGGAAAGATTGACGCCTCTGCTGGCGGAGAACCTCGACCCGAAGGAGTTTGAGAAAGTTGTGTTTTTGGCCTCCTCTTCTACCCTGACCAGACGCCTCGGAAGAGGTGGGAGAGTTACCCACACTTTACCCAACCTCACGCAACCTCACGCAACCTGCCAATCAACTGCTTTACTCTGTTATCCTGCTGCGTGTATAGAGGCGGTGTCGGGGGGGGGGGGTGGGAGATTTAGGCCAATTTCCCAATTTCTTGAACTGCCACGCCGGGCGATAGCATAGAACTGGCGTCATCTAAAGCGCTAGTGCGATGTGCTAACCATTACACCACGACAGCGTGTTGTTTATTTTATTTTATATATATGTTCATATATGCGCGCGTGTGCGTGTGTGTGGTGATTAATTTTAAACCCTAATAAGAAAGTGCCAATGTAGTTTTAATTTGATCAGTGCAGCTTGTTACACAGGCACTGCTAACATTTGGCGCGCATAAATTGGTGATTGAAACCGAGTGCTCTGTGGCTTATCCAGATTTCCCATCTGCCCTGCAGTTGGAAAATCGCATACCAAATTTTGTTTAATATTAATTGACTTTTGTTTGACTTATTTTCCTTTTAATCTAAGGAATCAAAAGTGCTTTGTAGCCCCATATATGGAGTTGCGAGATGTTTTCAACGAGCAATTAGCAAAACGCAGCATGCCATCTCATTCTGACGCGTTTTAACATTCAGCATGGTCTTCCTTAAAGAGGGTCTTCTCATTCCTTCTGATCGTAAACAAGCTTTGTTCCTGTTGGGAGTGGCTTTCGCCGGTCCTCCAGAGCCCAGTCTGAGTTGTGTGCAACCGTCCTGGGGTTTAGAAGATAGACAGAGAAGTATCTTCCATTCCTCCCATTTCCCGCACGGTCTCCCCGTTGCGAGCGAGCGAGCAAGAGAGAGAGAGAGAGAGACAGAGGCAGTTTCTCAATGGGCTAATGTGCCTACTGTAGCATAGTGTGCTGTACTTGTACGCTCTTCGTTGTCAATCCACTGCTGGATGAGGGACTTCCCGCGGCGGGGGTGAGAGGTGGTTGTTCGACTTCACTTCGCCAGGCTGGTCAGGGCGGGTTTAGTCTCGGCGGCAAGCATGGGCGTGGTACATTACAAAGACGGATTTACAGCACGGCCTACGGCATCACTCTGCAGCAGCCTATAATCACCCATGGCATCCATATATTTTTTCCTCGTGTAAATAAGTACGTTTATATTTGCACCAGTATTGTTCTGTTCATCTAGTTTCTTACAGCCTGCGTGATGTGTCACCCGTGGTCGTCACCCGTCCAAGCACGCCGCAGGCCAAACCCCGTTTACCCTCCGAGAGTTGATGATATCTGGAGCATTCCGAGTACTCCTCTTTTTTGAGGTAGCTGCTGCTTGCCTAAGAAATCTGTAAGGTTTCCCGGGACATTAAGAAAAGAGTAACGCAGCACTTGAAACAATGCCTACACATGCAGTTCCCCCCTTTCTTCTGGCATTGTGAGATATTTCCCTCAACAAGACACGCCTCGCTGCTTTCCTTTTATTTTTTTCGCACATCAAGAAGTGGCAACCCCAAGTAAAGAAGGGAGACTTAGCTGAACATTCCTTGACTTCCCACCGCATCGTCTGCCTCGACAACATGCGCAGCCCCCCCCCCCCCCCCCCCACGTGTCCCCCGTTTCACCACGTCCTCTCAGCACGTCTCCAAAGCCACTTGCAGCCAAAAGATCCATTTGGTCGCAAAAAAAAACAGCCGCAGCATGTTTCCAGAAAGGGCCCCTCGCAGTGCCGTGATTAATTGTAGAGCCAGGACGCTTACACAGGAAGCGTCCAGATTCCTTCTGGACCCTGAGGGTCTCTTTACTTGGAAGGCCGCTCCCATCCCTCGCAGCCTCTGCTGTGCCGTTGACCCCTTGACCCGATGACCTAGCAGGAAATCCCAGCTCTCACAGTGTGTGTCTTCCTTACGAATACCTAGTTGATGATTGGGAGGTAGGGGTTATGTAGTTGTGGTGGTCACAGTGGTGATGGTGGTGGCAATCGCAGCAGTGGTTGGCGGTGGTTATGGTTAGCCACCTCCAAGGTAAAACTAACCGTGACATATCAGAAGAAGAATAAGATCTCTCAATACCGCAAGAGAGGAGAACAACATGTGAATGCGTCGTCTTGAGCGGTTTATTATTACGCAGCTGAGAAAAATCCAGGACTTTTAATGTTCTAGAAATATTCACAGATTTCCCAGGCCAGCAGCTGCCTCAACAAAGGGAAGATTTTTCGATTTAAAGCTTTCGTGACTGCAGGGACGTGTCATTTAGACTCTGTCTTATCGACAGACGTGTTCTTCACCTGAGGACGGCTGCTTGCGTAGTGGCCGAAACGTCGTGAGAATTATTTTATTATGTTTTATTTTTATTATTTTACTACTTCCCTTCTACGTGACTTTACCGAAAGAACCAAGAAAAGGGAAGATTATCTGGGTTGCATGGTGGCGTACGGGGGTTGGTGGCATACACCTGGTAGCTGCAGTGGCTGTAATCACAACATTGATGTTGGAACTTTGAACTTGAAATGTTAAGTGAGGGCAGAGGTCGCGACCCAGAGCCATCCCTTAACAAGTCACCAGGATTTGTTGGAAACAATAAAATCAATGTGAAATCGTGAGTACGTGTATGCAACTGGCAGAGCGTGTTAACCTTCTGTCATAGGAAATGTAGACCTTTCCCTGCTTAAAGGTATAAGAATAAAAATAGTAATGATTAGGCCCCATGTCACTCCCCTACCGGATGAAGTCCTAACCATGCCATGACAGACATGGAACGGTAGTTTGACCATACTTCACCAAGATAGTCAATACGGGTTGGTGAAGATGTTGGCTCAGGCAACAACAACAGTTATCACTGATATTACATTCGAACTCAGCTTGTGCCTCAAATCGCCTGGTTCGTAGCACTGCACGCTAATCGCTTGCACCACCGCTCCACCCGTGCGTGAGATGCGTTGAGCCGTGGTGTGGGGGCCTCAAACCTGCGGTCCGACACTTTGACTGCAAGGGTTGGTGGATCACGTAGAGCTGGGTTCCCGAGGTGCCCGGCCAAAGCGCAGCCAAGTTGGTTGTCCACCTTTGCGACTCCGTGTTATAATCGCCGTTAATGTGTCGGTTTGCTCCCACCGCCTTTTTTGTTTCTTCTCCCACACACAATTAATTCCAATGCAGGACCCTCCTTAAAAAGAACACGTAGTCTCGAGACTCAGGGAGGGAGGGAGGATTTTCCGGATATTAATACTGTATTATTATAGTTGTATGTCAAAATAAATCAACACAAACTCTACGTTTTGGGCAATGGCCCTGCTTCATAGCAAATAAAGACATTGATATCGAGGTTATTACGCTGGATATTATTATTTATATCAAAGTTGATGTAATGCTCCTTAAGTAGGTGACGCAGTGCGTCAGCCC